AAGCTGTCGGAGCATTGAAAATGAGCAGCCCTTGAGATGCACCAAGTCGAAACTACTGTAAGCTTATAATGGGATATTCGATGAAATCGAGCATCTATACGCCAGTTTTAAATCAGTTTTTCAATTTTTTTCGGAATTTCGCGCGATTCCAAAACTTTTGATTTTCTGACTAAAATTGAGTAGGGAAGCGGAATGTGAACCTTCATCATATAGAGGGTCGCAATGCCCTAAAGTCCTGCCGGGGAGTGGTTAGTATAGGGGAAGTTAAGATTCTCGTTAAGGTTAGATCTATGAGGGACTAGGTTTATTTTAGGGTCGAATTTAGAACACAGTAATAAAGGTGTTCCTATGACCAATTTTGTTTTTTATGACAATGACTTTATCGGCAGAACGGCATTACCGACAAAGACAAGGGAGACTGGAATGGCCATTTCTGGCATATTAGCCGTCATAAGTCAGTCATACCCAACCCCGTGGTGTGGAACACTCGAGGCTCGAAATCGCCACCTGTTAGTTAGAAGTCCATGACTCTAACCACTGGGCCACGAGTCCGTTGCCCTGTCGGTTTTCGATCGGAAATATACAATGATGGGAACGCTCACAAGGGAACGAGTGAGTTCCGTAAGAACGATCGGTGAACGCTCCCTACCAATGCCTTTAACTTTCAATTTAACTGACGGTCCTTCACTACCAATTAAGAGTCGTGGAAGACACATTTGGACCTCGTTCCGCTTGAATATAATTTTTCTTTAAGTTACGCTCAAAGATTATTAATTTTAAGTGACGGCCATGTTTCTTTTTTGACCTGTCTACACTTTTCAGTCCAATACCAGTGGTCCTTCTTGACTTTTGGCCTGTCGTCTTCTAACTTTCGCGTTGGATGTTGCATGGTTAGGGTTTAGGATTGGGGTTGGAGTTAGAATTAGGGTTGGGAGTTAAGACTTAGGGCTGGGGGTGGGGGGGGGTAGGGGTTAGCGTTCGGGGGTTATGGATTAGAGTTAGGGCTAGGTGCTGCTGTTAGGGCTAGATGTTATGGTTAGGGGTAAGGGATATGAGGTAAGTTTTGGGGGGTAGAGTAAGGGGTTCGGATTAGGGGTCGGAATTAGAGTCAAGGGTTAGCGTTAAGGGTTAGAGTTATAGCAACAACTTCTCACCCAGTCAAAGTACCAATGAGCATTCCCAAAAGCGGTTCTTTTGTATACAACTTTTGGACCTCCTCGTTTGTGTGTTCCCCGGCCACACCCCTATAAACCGTTATCACCGCCGGTCTCGTATCACAGGTGGCTGGGGTTTGTTTGCTTCAGGCGCGGCTATATTACCACGTCTGACTAAGTACAGGAGGCAAAGTCCTGGGATCATGTGGAACCGTAAGAATCATTAGTTGTAAATGCTTGATGCATACGAAATGACCGACAGTCATTGACAGCATCTCTTTATCATCCTAGTGCAAGTAGCGCGGCGAAAAGCTAAAAAATGCTGCCGCTGAATAAAGTTAATCGGGAGTAAAAATGAACCATTGGTGTTCGCCGGAATCCAGTTCTTGAAGACCTGGCTACATAGGTATTGATTTACAATAGTCCAGTAAATGCACTGCTTCATTTGACGCAACGAATACTTCACGAAACAATGCCTAGCTGTTCGCACGCACTGCAAAATCACATCGGTAAAGTAGATTTCGATTTGCCCAAAGGGCTGCAGCTCAGTGCTATGGTCGACAATGCTCAAAGTCGCAAGGGCTGACATTCGGCACGGAGGGAAATCTTTGGCAGTTTCCGGATCTGCATCTCCGGACGTTTCTCCTGCAGTTGACGGACAGCGAAAATCATGTCAGTAAGGCCACGATGACGACGTAAACCGCACTGACTTTTCGGCAGACGTCCCTGTTCCACTGGGCTATCAGAAGAATGCGAGCGAAGATCTTCCCGGCGGCGTTGATGAGGGTACTGCCTCTGAGGCTGTTGCAGAGTTGGCGGTTCAGTCTCCGCTTGTAGAGATGGACGATTGGGAGGTCCTCAAGGTCCAGAGGAACCGGTCTTTGGCAATTGGAAGAAAGCTGTCAGGTGGTCCATAAGTTGTTGGCCGCCTGCCCAAAGACATGCTTCGCTTTAGTGCTACGGTCGGCAATATTCAAAAGCGCAAGGGATGACATTAACTATGAATTGCGACTTTGACAACCGGTGACGATGAATTAGCCCACTGCGAACCAACCGAAATATACTTCATCACTAAAAGCATTCTTATGGTCATACAATTTGAGGTCAACCATGTTCCCAAACTTAAGAACATGCATATTCTCAAATGACTTTGGGTTTTCTGATTGGGAATGCATTTCAATTGCGCTTGCACATCATATTCACGCAAAACTTCCTGCATGCAAAATGTGGATTTGAAGGTCAGGGAAGTTAATTCATAGGAAGGTCACTGGTAGAGGGCTGTCAAGTGACTTGAGTCCGAGAAAGTCGGCTTTGCTCTCCGCTATCAAAGTGTTTTCTGTGTCAAAACAAATTAGCCCTTGATGCTGGTGATAATATTAAAAGTAAGGTCTCAGGGTTAAATGGGTGATGAAGAAAGGAGTGCGGTAGACAATGCACAGGTATGCTTCATTATAAAAGATTATTTTCCTAAAGTATAGCCTCCGAACCCAGCTCATTAGGCATGCAGTGGCCGTCGTCCCACGCGTGTTCGTTGCAAAAGAAGCTTTTTCTGGATACTTCAAAATATAAGTGGAGGAATGCACCTACACAGACAAGGTGGTCCCCTGTACTTCTCCATTTGTCTTCCCACTACGATCGTCCTTACGTAAGGTGACTTTATTCTAACACATACAACTATGCACCTTCATCCACGAAGTTCCTCTTTATATTATTAAACTTGATATCTCCTTTTTTTTCCTTTTCATCGCGAGCACACTCACATTCCTTGATTTTCTTCTTGTTCCTTGTTTTGCATTTGTGTATCTTCTTGCGAATCGGTGTGCTTTTTGTCACTCGCAAGGTCCTGCGTCACCTATTACTAACGCTCACTGCCTGCTGCCCATTTCCATTGGCTGCGGATTCCCCCGGAACCTCACATTACGTTAGTCTGCAAGCGGCGGTTTATCCAGCCGCCTGAAACTCACTGACTACTGTTTTTCTCATTTTTTGAACTCGCGAACTTTTATATCACCTAAATTCCAAGTATGTTTGGAGGTTCAGTATTCGAATTTAATTTTTTTATTTCACGTTCTTGAAATACTTTTGCCTCCCTAACCCGTATAACCCCTATAACCATCATTCCCGTAGAACATGCTCCCCAGGTTATCTGCCGTTCATCCTGACTACACACCACCCCCTTGCAAGAGACTTTGAAACGGAAGATGAAAAATAATGAGGTCAGAAGTCATTTGTTACAAGCAGTCCAGTGGTTTTTTCTACACAATCGTCAGACCTTACATGACAGAGTGGCCCATTATCAACACAGAAAATTCGGCAAGGATTAATTATATGCGCGAGGTTGGAAAATATTAACTGTCGTTCAACAAATATGCCAGATTTTTAACAATCCTGCTTCACTGACAGACGTATGCGTTCCATCTGCCATTATTTTAGGCATTCTTACCATGTGGTTGCTCTCCGAGCCGTGTCTTTTTTAAACTAACCCTTCCTCTAACTAAATAATTGACTACGAGTGTGTAGAACAATAAACCAATGTAGAAAATACCGGCAGTACCGGCTGCTCAGGACGGTACAAGTCAGCGGATGTCATCCCACCGACGAAGGGCTGGACAAGAACTTTTCAGGACAACACATGTGTTGTAAAATACAGTAGGCAGCTGTCCATGGTTCTTTCTTACTCCGCGCATATACTTAATCCTCACTGAAAATCCTTGTACCTTGAGGTTGTACTAGTAAGCTAACCATATGGTGCAGAGGCATACCTCGCCTAATTTTTATATCGATAGCCTTAGGGAGCTTCGTAAAAACAAAAACATTGTGCCTACTAGACCGGATAAAGGTTCAGGAGTAGTACTGATGGATAGGACAGATTATGTGGCGAAACTAGAGGAAATACTGTCGGATCGTTCCAAGTTCTCAAAATCTGAGAAAGATAAGGATCGCACGGAGGCTGTCGAGGGTCAGCTGACGACTATTCTCAAAGATCGCTGCAAAGAAGGCCATTTGTCTAGCAAAGAGTATGAACGACTGAGACCGGTGGGCTCGACAATACCAAGAATGTACGGCATTCCTAAAATTCATAAACAAGGGCTGCCTCTACGTCCAAGCTTGGATATGAGGAATTCGCCCTATCATACCGTTGCAAAATGGCTAGTGGAAAAACTAAAGCCATTGCAAAGTTACCTATACCCTCGAAGTTTAAAATACTCCTTTGATTTCGTCGAGGCTATCAAAAATATGAACGTTGGCGGACGGAGGATGTTATTACTGGATGTATCATCGCTGTTTACCAACGTACCCGTGGCAGATACAATAAACTATCTTTGTGATGTTATTCGTGATACGAAATACGCCATAGACATGCCTGTGAAAACGCTAAAAGAACTACTGACGCTTTGCACACAAAATGTCCAATTTCTGTGCAATGGTCAATTATACAGGCAGGTAGATGGTGTGGCAATGGGATCACCGCTTGGACCGTTCCTTGCAAATGTTTTTATGCTGAAGTAGGCAAGAACAGCAGGATTTATTGGCACCAATAAATTTCGCGACTGCTCTTCAGCTGCTTCCTGTCGCTTCATAAGAGGGATAACGAGTGAGAACAATACAACAGATTTGAATTCATGCAGAAAATCGATGCAGAAACAGCAAGGTTAGGGTTTTGGGCAAAGTTGGCTAATCGATAAAGTTAATAACACAAACGCCGTAGGGGAAGAAAGTGAAAAAGAAGGAAACGTTAAAGAGCAAAAAAATGAGAGGAGAGAGGGGGAATCATGGTGCCAATAAATCCTGCTGTTCTTGCCTACTTCAGCTTCGTACCGGGGACAAAATGCTTCAAATGTTTTTATGGGCAAAGTCGAGAAAACAAGCTTGCAAGAGACCATTAATGGCCTCGTCTTCTACCGTCGGTACGTGGACGATATCTTCTTCCTGACGGATGGTACCACCGATACCGAGGAGCTTGTCCAAAAGTTCAACAGTGCGCACCCCTCGCTAAAGTTCTCTGCAGAGACCGAGGCAGATAACGAACTTGCCTTTCTCGATGTCCTTCTGCACAGGCAACAGGATGGGTCTATCCAGCGCAGGGTGTTCCGAAAGAAAACCTGGACGGGACAATATGTTAATTTCCACAGTTTTGTCCCCCTTAACATCAAACGGAATTTAGTCCAGGGATTGGCGGCTAGAGTGAGACGCATCTGCTCACCTGAAGCTATTGAAGAAGAACTTCAACAGCTGCGGAACACACTTTGGGAGAACGGATACCCAGATAGATTCATCCTCCGAAATATTGGGGAACGCGTTGAAAAGCCCACTGTTGAGACTGCGGAAAAGAAAGATGTATTCATAAGATTGCCTTTTAGAGGAGACGCAGAGAGCGAACTGGTCCGACGGCGCTTAACTACAGTTATCACGAAGGCATTCCCTGCGGCGAATTTACGCGTATGCTTCACAAACTCTCCCCTCCTACGTTTGGGAGGTAAAGACAGACTACCGTTGGAGGCCACATCAATGTGCATTTATTCATTCACTTGCTCCTGTGGAGCAGGATACATCGGCCGCACAACGAGACGCCTGGTAAAGAGAGTACGTGAACATATGCCCGCCTGGCTAGACAGAGGTGAGACCCGGTCGATTTCGAGTTCTATTCTCGCGCATTTAATCGATACGAACCACCGAGTCGATGCCAAGAAAGCATTTCAGGTTGTCTACCGGACACCAACATGCTTCTCTAAAGGCCTACGCCAACGGATACTAGCAACGGCAGAGGCAGTAACTATACGGTTAGTGAATTCGGTGTTATGCTGTCAGAAAACTCTGACACAAGCGCTCTCTCTGCCGTGGCCAACGCCAACGCCAACCCCAAGTGATGAAGCCATGCCGCCTCAAATCCCTAATCACGATGATGCGCACTCTGTGTACTCAACCCAAGATCATTACTCAAAGACTCTCTTACCCCCCTCCCCTAGCCCTGACGACTAACACCCGCCGACCTTTTCATGCGGGCGGCGTGGGGATGATGAGTGTTAGTGACTTAATAGCCCTTGAGGCATCTATAAACACTGTTGATTTTGTACATTTTCATTCGTTCATGTAATTGTATTGGCCTGAGGAAGAATAACCGAAAAAGTGCGTTCGCCAACTTGACTTTTCAATTTTAACATGGGAATATTTGCGGAACTTAGATAATTTTTATTCATTTCACTTTCTCGGAATACCTTCACCTGCTTCCAAGACCGTATAACCCCTACGACTAGTATTCCCGCAGGACATGCTCCCCAGATTATTTACTACTGATCCCGACAACATACCAGTCACTTGCGATAAACCGTAAAACAGAAGAAGGAAAGGAATTGCGTCTGCAGTCATTTGCTACAAGCAGTGCGATTTTTTCAGCGCAATTTTCGGATGTACCATGAAATGCTGGCCTCTTATCAACACGAAAATTTAGCAAGGATTAAGTACATTAGCGAGGTAAGAGAATTTCGACTGTTGTTTAACAAATTCACCGGCGTTTTAACACTCCTGTCCTACTGACAGACGTGCACACTGCATCCACCATTACTTCGATCATTTTATGCTGCCTCACTGCTCTTCGCGCGGGACGTTTCTTTTAAATGAGCTTTCCTCTTTCTAAAACGTTTGGTCGGATCTTATTTCGTAGCCGTACCTGCAGCAAACAAGCCCCAACCTAACCCCTAACCCTAACCCCTGACCCCAGTCCCCAACCCCTACCCCTAACACTGACCCCAATCCCTACCCCCAAACCCTAATCCCAAAACCCCAACCACTAACACGTACGGCTACGAAATAGGATCTTGCCGAAAATTACATGTGGGGTGTGCGGGACATAGCGTTCCGTATTGGTCAGTGGGATTTTCGACCTTTATTAAAACACTCCGGTAGAATTTTCAACCTTACTCATGCGAGCATCGCGGATTGTCGAGCTCAGCAAAAAGCCTAATCTGCCACACTGCACATGCTTCCAGGGTTTCCAAATAGCACACTGACTAAAAGTACATGTGCCCAGCCCGTAAACGCAGCGCGTCACGCACCCAGGGGGCATATTTCCTCCTTGCGATTGGGTGACGTTTTGCTAGGTGTCTGTTCTGTGGATGGTGGCGTCGTAAGCGTGTGTGGTGTAGCGGTTAGCATGGCTGCCTTCCAAGCAGTCGATCCGGGTTCGACTCCCGGCACACGCAGACCTCCCGTCTCTCCCTTTAATTCGTTTTAAACTTTGACGCTGTTTTGAAAAACCATACTCGACGAGCGGGCTGCCCCGTGCGCTAAGACCTCTGGGTGTTTCCACTCCGTCATCAACACTGGAAACCGTTATGGACCTGTCGCACGCCCTTCCGACGGTTCTTCTTTTATAAAATAAAAAAGCCAGATTTGAGCGAAATACGGCTTTCCTTGGCATGCAGGAGATTTCCTGTGTTACTGACTTCCACAAAGTAAAAACTCCATGTTTATGCGTACTGTCCTGTAGACGATGATTAAGATAAACAAGAGTAGTTGGAGATAAATCCCTTTGGAAAATGGAAAATTGAATGTTGTGTTCATAAAAGTTAGATGAAGTCAGGCATGCGAATATGCATTGTTTTTAAGAAAAGAGGGGCGAATTCAGCTTTAAAAATCCTACTCTGCAATTTTGCTGCATGTCATGTAATGAAACTCAGTAATAAACTTGATTGGCAGAAGTCTGCTTTACTAAACGGAAAATTACTAGGCGCCCTCTATTTCATGCATCCTTGTACGTAATTTACCTATAATATAGGCACTTTTTAAATGTTAGTTTTCAGTGAGAATTGATTAATGTTGTTAGTAAATATTAACTTGCAAACCCAAACATATATGCCTTCTTTTAAATTCGGTAGTTTCCTTACTGATGTAAATTTTTGGGGAACTCGGCGTGGGTGGATCTTCCGTTACAGGAATTTTCTTGTGAATCTACCACATTTAATATATTGTGAAACAAAAAGGACATAAGGAAATGCTCAAGGTCGGACTGAAATTCGACCAATTAGGTAGTGGCCTTGCGTGGCTGGGGTGTCGGCTGGACTTCTGACTCATTTGACTGGTTGCGTAAACCTCCAATCGTGTTGGGAGTTGGCGTTACATCAACACTTGAACGGCGTGTGGGCAGCATGTTAGGGCACCGCCCTAACAGAAACATGAGGGAATTATGTGCGGGCAGGGTTGGACTAGATCGTTGAGTGCCTTCGACTAGCCCACCTCCGCGACCCGATGCGCAGCACCGACAAGCCTAATTACTTCGGAAATCGACCAACTGTTGCACTTCTTCGAATATCCAGAGGAAGACAGCTGACGGATTTTGAGCCAGGTGAGATGTTGGAGTTGCGTGCAAGTGGTCTCTGCAGTAGCAGTTTAATGCAGATTATTGGATTTGAGGACGCTACCACCCCTACCGGATGCCTGTGAACATCTTGCTGTTGATGGTTATTTTTGTTTATTGCAGACCGGAGAGTGTCGGCGCTTTGCGAGAATTCAGCTGTTGTCATTTGCGGAGATTTTTGAACAGATAAACCTCAAATTTGTCGTCGCGATGGTCCATTAGAGACGTGGACGGAGGCCGTGCCAACGCGACATCCGGGTTCAACTCGGTCTGGATGGTAATAATCGACATCTTAATAAACCTGAAATGTGGAGCCTGTTCAATCGAGTAATCTGGATGCCTCTACAAGATCTCAAGTGGCGAACTGTGTGTCCACAAACCGCCCCCTCCCCCTCCTCCGTGTAAGTACTTTTTTGGATGATGCCAGGAAATGGCTGCAGTGTAGGGTCTTCTTCACTAACATGACCAATCTCTGTTGTCACTTGCAGAAATTGTTGAACTGGAAAACCTCGAAGTTGTCGTCGGGATGGCCGATTAGAGACGTGGACGCAGGTCTTTCCAGCGCGACATCCGGCTTCACTTCGGTCTGGATGGTGATAATCGAAATCTTAGTAAACCCGAAATATAAAACCTGTCTGTCAACAAACCGTCCCACCCCCTCCCTCCTCTGCCGTATAAGTACTTTTGTAGATGATGCCAGAAAATTGCTGCAATGGGAGTCTTCAGCACATCGATAGATGTTGCAGGTGGCTCTCCCGAGTCAGTTTACGCATTACGAACGTCGGATACAAAGTATATGCAAATTTGACGACTTCCGGTTTCACGACTGCCCATCTAAAAATATGAGAAGTCGCCCCACGGACTAACGTCGAAATGCACTGGCAGAAAGCATGTAATGCAGTGACCCTCCCTCCCATTCTTCCCACAAGTCCTTCTCGCAAGCCTGGCTTCTTCTCATCACTCTTAACTTGCTCGAGTGTGTTTATCGCACTCAAATACCGTCCATTTTTTTTATTTCTTTGACCCACTCCGTAATGCTGATCATTCATCGCACCAAAACCTTTCTATTTTTTCTCCACATAGTACACCCAACGTTGCACAAATATAAGCGAAATGGTCAATGCATTCGCGGTCGATGTTCTACAGAAAAGTAGAATTTTGTTTACTTCGATAGCCTACGTCCGTTTAAATAGGAGGATCGGTTTTTTACGCACGCTTGGCCTCGCAGGAGGACGAAAGGACCAAGAAGGCACACAGCATGTTTTGCGAGGCCATAATGTGCAAGCCGTGATACTGCCTAATCAAGGCGGTAATTCAATAGCAAACAGCGACCCATGGGCTAAATAGTCGTGCTGGGACCCCTTAATCTCTGGCTAAAAGCTCCCGATATGACTTCAAGTTAAAGCATGTTTGCTAACTTAACTTACTTACCGATCGACAGAGACCATAGTCGTGAATTGAGGCATGTATCACAGACGTACGGGTTCCCCTGGTTAATCTTCCCAGTCACGAGAACGTGATTGTACCAGTGCATGGAAGTAGTTGTAGGTTTATCGTAACCACGTGCTGTGTTTTGCATTGGACAGCAAAAGCCGCAGCTAGCATGTATCTGAATTCTTTTCGTACTAAGTGCTAAAGAAGCCTCTTCCTAATGATGGTGGATAGGCAAGGACAAATTATTTTAACTATGAAAAAGGTTATAGAAAGTGGAGGGGTGGAAGGAGGAGATGTAGGAAGTTTCTGGATACACCATCTCACTTGCAGTATCTTGCCAAATCACGTTGCAGCTCATCGTCAAAGGTACAGTAGATGACCTAATTCCTGAAATGTTGAGAGCGGTATTTGAGTTGATGGGAAGGAATAAATTTTGTGCGGTTATTCTTGTTTTTTGAATTGATTGGAATCTCAGAAACCCCTTTTCTAAAGAATAAGTCATGTCAGTTCGGTTCTATTGAGGAGAAACGGACCAAAATTAGGCAAATTTCGACGTCTCCGAATATCTTCTTAATTTCCTATTCTAATAAGTATCCCCCATTAAAACCTCTTATTTGCACGCGTTGCGTTATAAAGGAGTTTTCATAGAACAAGGAAAAATATCAAAGAAGGGCACTCTGGAAATGCAAATTGTGATTTTTAGTTCATGAAAATCAGATTAACTCAAGTATGTAAAAACACATTATTCTCATGAACCAAAAAACGATTTACTTTTTATAAATTCTATTTAGCAAAACTGCAACGTTTTATATCGTCAAACACAGTAATAGGCTAGTTCGACAGTATTCGTTTTACTACACCAGGAACTAGTAGGCGTAAACACGTATACATGGATAGCGCGTTAGATGCTGCCATCTTTCTTTGCCACGCCGTACAGCAAAGTTTCGAAACAGTTCCTATCGTAAGTTGCTTTGAGCGAATACGAAAATTGGCAGCCGAAGGGCTGCCGCTTAAGTAGTTGACTAGCATTTTTAATATCAGCCAGGCCACTCTCTGGAGAATTATGAATAATAAAACAGCACCTAGAACTAAGCAAGATTGTCCAAAACGGTCCACAAGCAAGCAAGACGACGATTTCACTCGTCGGACACTGAAAAAGTATCATTATATGCCACTTAAGGCTATTTACAGAGGACACCTGTCAGTGTCTTCTCTGCGCATAATTAGAAAAGGAATGAAAGATTTCGGTCGCCATCAGCAAAACACCATGATAAAGCCATTCTTAAGTAAAAAAAACTTATTACAGAACGTTTTTTGTTTGCTCAAAATATACTGATCACAGACTTTGCTTCTGGAAGAGCATTTACTTAAGTGATGAGGTCTTATTCTTAAACAAGCCTCCGAAATCGACCCAGGTGGTCGTATGTGGAAAGAACTTTCCCCGAGAGCACACAATAGCGACACCAACTTTCAAGAAGTGTCGACGCCTGGTGGTTTGGATGGCCATCAAATTCGAACGGTGACCGGTCAAACGTCCAACAGCGGAGATGATAAATAGCAAAGTGTTCATCGACATCGTAAAGGATGCCTTCGGTTACAAGGGCATTTATCGATGTCGAATGGACAACGTAATGTTGCAGGCTAGTAGCCTTGCCCACCGCTCAAAGGAAATATGATTCCAGTTCGGTTTATGTACATAATCTAATATTTTAGACAACTGCCAGCCTCTTCGCCTGCGGCCTTCGAGGCATTTTATCCCCGCCAGCAGTCCGGAACTAAATCCCATCGAAAATCGTTTGTACAAGTCAAAATAAATTGAGCCAAATCAAGAAAACATCTTCCTACGGAACAAAATATGGGATTTTTGCTTAATAATTACATTGACCAAACCACCTTAGACAACTTGGTGGTCTCCATGCCCCCTCGCCGTACGGCAACTTCTCTGCCGGCAGTTTTGCTATGTGTCGAATAGTTGACATTTTATAGAGTCGTTTTGTGATTTGTTAGTTTTTAGTATAATAAATTATTTCTTAGTCAATAAATAATGCTTTATAAATCAAACTGTGCCTTATTTTGAAGCTCGGTAGCATCTTTAATACAGTATAACTTTCGTGGATGCGGGATGGGCGTTTCGTGCGCTACAGCGATTTAAGTTCACAGTTAGTGGCATTTCATTAGATTGGTCACGAACTGTATATGAGAACATAATACACAGTTCTAATTCAAACTCGTGTCATCCGGAGTTGGACTTCAGTCAAACCATCGATTTTAACCGCGAAATTTGGTAAGCGTGCGTGAGTCATGGTTTAAACACAAAACTTTTCAGCAGGTGCAAGTTCAAGAGATCTCGTCTGAAATCGCATGCCATTTTCACGACCTATCTAGCTTCCCGACAATTGAAATTGGGTACGATCCTACTATGCAGCCAGGCATGAAGACATAATACCGATGGCCTACTGATTTGCTTTCAGTAGGTATGATTAGATTGAATAAACAGGCTATTGCGAGTTAAGGCCCTCCTGTATTTGGCAAACTTTGTCGGTTTATCCACTTGCGGTTCATTCCTGCAGTGCCGTCCGACAGTTTTTGGGTCCAAAGGAGAGCATCATTTATTTTTTTTTATTTGCGATAATAACCATAAGCACACGCCTCCGCACTGCGCACTGTCGTTGTCAAATGTTACCCCATCAACCTATCCCGGTTATGCCAGGTTTACAATTTTATATCCTCTGGCCTGCGACACGCCTTCCTTGTGCTTTTCACATTTACCTATCTTCATTTACTTCGTCGCCTACGTTGCTTGTGCCCTGCCTTAGTGGTGCATCCATGTCTTCGTTGAGGACGGTTTTTCAGCACACCTTTACCTATGCCCTGACATTGTGCTGGCGCTTGCGATTGGCCGATCTGATTTCCCGCGTTCGTTCGTGCGTAGCGGTTAGTTTTCACCTCATACAAAGTTCTGTTGTGCTCCACTCTACGATTTTGTTGGCCTACTTCCGCGGTCGCCTTCTCGCCGTGTACGGTGGCCCCGTCCGTTAAACTCCTCTTGACACCATTCCCGTGAAACAGGCGGCTAGAGTGGGGCTGTTTCAGGGAAGGCTGCGTAATAGGATCTGACCTTGAATTAAATCCATAGAAAAAACTTCGCCAGACCAGGTATTTATTTCCAATACTTCGGTTGATGAAACCGATCAAGGAGTAAAGTGTAAACTCACTCACATCAATGTCGCCCGCGTAACAAAGACAGTACCTACAGAAGCCAGCAACGTAGAACTGTCGAGTAGTTGATTTAAAGAATTATCATGCATAACACTTGAGCCTACTGTTTTGTAAATATGCCCTGTCAAAAATTGCTTGGACCTTTGAAATAGCTGCAGTTTTCCAGCAAGATATTTGATTCCCTTCGACTGCCTTCTTTTTAAGTCGGTCATAGAGGTCGACGAAGATGAGTGTGGTAATGTGCATGGAGGAAAATTTTTTAGACTCGAAAATGAGATTAACTTGAGCATTTGCGCTGATGTTAACCAGTTCAAATCTCATTGCCTCCAGGTTCGTGTATGTAGGGAAGATGGGTTTCTGCAAAAATAACAAAATTCCATCAAAGAAGGAGACGTTTACAGACCAAGGACTAGAACCCGGTCAATGTTTACCTCTCTGCGAAACTGCAAAGTGACAGCAGGGAAGGATAACTTGCAGGAGAACTGTGAGTATCCACCTTCACGAAAGGTTGTCACGAAAACGCAGTCGTCGCAGTACCCCGGAACATCGACCGTCATCGAAAATGTCGTTCTGCTGACCTCGTCATAGGGCAGTCTTATGGTCATTGTGTGAAGCCGCTCCACGCGGGATTGGACAAAGTCCGTCAAATAAATTCCATTACCGTGTCGAGGACACTTTTCTTTGGGTATGAAAGGGATGGAAACACAAACGAAAATGTCCGAAGTCAACCTATCACGAAAAATTTGATGATCCAAAAATAACATCAGCATTATGCGCTGCATGGAGAGTAAAGATATCCTGTGTGTAGCATACTGTGGGTGACTTGTTCTGGGAAATGTTGTAAGTGGCATTAATATACGAACTCGATATTTCACGAATGAATGCAAAATGTATACTGTTGTGCATTTTCCTCATAAAACATGTCTGTTTTTATAAGGGCACCAAAACCAATAAAAGATAACTGCTGATTAAGCGGTCAGTTCTAGCCAGCGTAATTCGTGAAGAAGGCCAAATTGATGTCCGTTCAAAAGTCACCATCCTAGTGTGACATGAATATACTTGGACTATGCAGTATGAAAAGGAATACTACAACCACAACTAAATGGTCTTTTCTGACCGAGACCGTATTTCAAGCCACTATTTTTAAAGGACAGTTAACCTACTGAAAGTATACTTTTTTTCGAATGAGAGGCATGCCAGCAGCATACCGACGATTCAAAATCTTAAAAATTCCATAACTACAAGTTCTTTTAACCGAACGCGCATTACTTTTTGGGCATGCATTTGAAACAGACTCAATATTTCACGAATGAATACAAAAAGTATACTGCTGTGCATTTCTCACATAAAATATGTCCCCATTTTAAGGGTACCAAAATATATACGAGAACTACTGATTAAGCAGTAATTCCTGGACAGTATAATTCGTGCGGAAGACCAGAAGGATGCCTGTTCAAAAACCACTATCCTGGCCTGACGGAAATTATTTGGATTATGCTGCATGACGAGGAATACTACAACCACCACTAAGTGGACATTTTTGGCTGAGACCCTATTTCAAGTCAATATTTTAAAGGACTAAAATTGAATTTGATCGGATGACAGGCATGCTAGAAAGTTGTCGAGGTAATTTTGACAGAAAAGTTAAAAGCAGAAAAAGTGACAAGTACCCAGGCGTGTGAAACAGAGCTGGCAGAGCAGAGGGTAGTTCAGGATCACGAGCAAGGTTAGGCTCACGTGCATGATGGGTGCTGCGCCGAACAACACGATAATATAATGTTTACATGAGGCTACTACTCCTAAAAGCAGCTGGCTGGCATTCCTTGATTGGTCCCGCCACTTCATGGATTGCGCGCACATCTATGGCGTTGGCTAACTACAGTGCGTGACCTATCTCATGAAATCTGATAACGGAATCTGATGAAAGAATTTCTGGACGTCTTTAACGTTGGGCATTGTGTTCGCTCATCCACTTCCTTCAATAAATTGCCCCTTTCTTGTGAAGAAATTGTGTTTACGCAATTATATCAAGTAAAATATCAGTGAAATATCAGTAAAATATCAGCGAAATTGGACGTTAGAATATATTCGTGCAATTTCCTATGTTAATACATATCCTATACGCCGGTTACGCATCTGAGCGACTTTTTCATTGAAAGGACAGTAATATACTCGCGAGAGTTTTAATAAGCAGATTTAGTCGAACTTAAAAATTTATTTTATGTCCGATGTTAACCATGGTGATCAACCTACTAATACAAACGTTATTTTAAGAAAACCAGAGGTTTTATCAATTCCTAAATGTCAGATTAGCAGATCTGTGCAATTTGGTGCCTTAAAGTGCAGTAATAAGGCAAATAGGAATTCCTCCGTTTAAATGGGCTGGAATTATTTTGCCGTTTGGAAAATCCCACCCGATGTCACATAGATGACCACCACTGAATGGTCATTTCCAGCTTTAAACATATGAAACACTACCTGTCGGGTAGTTTGGTTTCTGTGCATACTCTATTCAGAAATATAACGAGCAAAGCATTAATAGTTTTAGCAAAATATCAGTATTTATATGGACGCTTTGTCGTGCGTTCATAATCAAAGAACGGAGTATAAAAGTGAATAAAAACAGTGGAAACGGCCTCAATGTATAGAGAAAGGCATGTTCTTACGTTTACGGTAGAAAAATATTAGTATTTCTTAGGAACTCGAAGGAAACGGACAAAGGTGTCAAATTTTTACTTGGCCTCACTGTGTAAAAATGCAAAGTACACAGAGATCCGTCAACGGAGTGCAGTAATAAAGCGCCTCCTAAAGCGATAACATATTGAAGAAAGATTTCTTATTGTTCGACGGCATACTCTTTGCATACTTTGGTTGTGGACAGCCGTTTTTTCCGAAAATGAAGTCTGATGTTTGGATGGGTCTTCACATGTGACCCAAACGACCATCTTCCTGAAAGGGAGCGCTCCAACACTCACAAAATCGGTAAATGTCTTCAAGATCAATCTTAATTTAAGGTTCTCAACGGACAGGTAATTCAGAATCCGTCTTTATGGGCGATCGGGAGAAAACACTGAAAATAATGAAGTATTCAGCAACATTTCGAGGCCGATCTGAAACTCAACATAATCAAAAACGAACGAAAAATGAAAATTAGTTAAACGGACGAAACGTTCTCTCTCTAAATAGAGAATGGTATGTTTATGATCACGCCTGTAAGTTATATTTAAATTTATTAGGCACCGACCGGCCTCATGGCATGTCACCTTATGAAAACGTTTGTTCCTACGACGCCCCCATCGGTGAAATGAAGCGAATTCCAGCTTCTCTTGTTGAACCCCATCCCATTTAATTCAAACGGAGCAAAAATAACGTGACTCACTGGGAAACTGTTTTGGAATTTACACTCAGATTGTAGGCAGTTTATAAACCGTCATATATGAAATCACACTACTTATTGAATGATATTTGGACGTAAACTTCACTAAAACACAGTTATTAGACGTTATTTTATGTCTACGTTCATATTTACCATGTTTTTGGTATGAGGATACATTTTATACATCTAAAAACGAAGTTTACTAAATTAGAACCATTTCTCACGTTTTCGGGATTTTGCGCTTTTCAAAATTAATGGGAATTTCTAAACAACTCAACACTGCCTTAAGTATTTCTTTTATTGTCTTAATTCTATTAAACTTGTACTTAACTAACAAGACATTTGACTCATGAAATGATGTCGGTTTGCGAGTGATTGGAAATCATTCATAAATTTCGACACATCTCATGAGTAAGGTCAACAACTGTACAAATCCAACCATCCCACATGGAAAATTCCTGATACAAGGTCACATTATGTGCATGGTGAAGGTTCTGGCCGCTCCGTAGGGGCCTTAACTAGCATCAAATTCTCATCCGCGTCTCCAAGATGCTAGGCTCTGTCTAGAAGCCATACTCCCGCAATCGCCTTGATCTACGGACAAAACCCTATACGGGTACCCTGTGTTCCACGTGCTCCCCCATTCTTCCTACTCCTCTTCCAACCCCTTATCTGTAGCGGTCCGCGTCTCCTTACCCTCCGCCGTTGTCACGCCGCCTTCCTGCCCGCCTCAAACTCATCGTCGATACACTGTTAGGACGCGCGAGGCTTGTCTCTAGCCTCGCGAGTGCCCGAAGCCAATCAACGCTGCCCCCCCTCTGATTGGCTGGCGGACGTTGAGACAAGGAAATGTGCACACATGCGCTGGGTCTCAGCACTTCGAAGGCGGACACAGACAACACAACTTGTTTGGTGAGCGCGTTCACGGCTACTGTTTACAGAGCCCTTTGTGTACGCACTTCCACAGCAGTAAAGGTTGTCCAACTGAAACCGTCTTCACTGACTTATGATTTGGGAATCTTTGTCTTGTCGTCCACACCACTTTCAACACATTCTCTTTATTCTGCTCCTCCTCCCCCCCCCCTATCCCTCCTCCCTCCACTCCTACCCCTTCTCCCACACCTATTACTACTACTTCTAAACCTCCTACTCTCCATTTCCACTTCGAAAAAGTCCTACGGGAGAGGGGTGTGTCTACTCCCGTTGGCGGCTCAGAGTAGCTCGAGTCGTCTTCCTCTAAAAAGTACCCGGCGTTCATCAACCGTCTGGGATGTCTATGCAGCTCTATCTATGTAGTAGGGGTAAGGAGAGGTGCACTAACCAAATGCTATGAAATCACGCCATCTCCATGATGGCCGTGGCTCGCAGATGGGAAACTCGCGGCCAAAACAGTCGAGCAAGAACAGTATTCACCCCAATGTCCTGGACTCCACACCACCAGCTTCTGGGTGACTCTGATTCCTCTGGCCTACGCTGATTGGTCCTACCACGCCATGGACTGCGTGCACCCAGCCTGTCCTCCACTGAACTCCTCTCATACATGCTGCCGGCAACCCTGTAAAAGGATCCCACCGGCGTCCAGCGGCAAGCCTTTGTTCTACACAAACGTGTTTTTGTTATTTTCAATTTGGAAAAGGTAAAAATATCTATATATTACAAAGAAGCTCCTGGTAGATTGCTATCGATTTGTGCTATTTACATCTAATCAACTTCGCACACTTGCCTTGCTATCGGTCCCCCTATTCCAGTTTGTGATTAAAAGCCCTCCTAAATTAATTGATCAACGGCGGAAGACAAGTTCGAAATAGTCTCATTCGGTAAAGCATAAGCACAAGTTTGCAGGCGAACACAGTAGAGCATCAAGCAAATTGGACAGAAAACAATGGTATTGGACGGAATAAATGTCGTCACCAGTACAACATTGAGTAGGCCCCTAGGACGTCAACAAACGCTCCTGATTCCATTAGAGAAATAATGAGCTGCCCGCATAACTCAGATGGAATTTACAATTTGTCCCACTTTAAGCTCATGCACGAATAAAGGAAGAACGAAACAAATTGCTTATTTTCCAACTTGTTGTATTTATGCAGAGATGAAGGCGTCAACAGAGCGGGTGCCTCAAGCTGTCGCCACGTCGGCGCAGGGGGGAGGAAAGCCAGGCACGGGTGAAACCGCCGATTGAGAGGGTACGTATGACGGATCAAAGTGGACCTGAGTATGCGGCAGAGCTGATGACCAAGAGGGCAGACTGCCACGCCCTCATGGATGACACATTATTGTGAAATGTAGACGTACATTGGCTGTACAGGCCACTCCGCATGGTTGAACACGCAGCCAGCAGGTGGCACAGCACACTGTCGAAGGCAGAGAGTTGACATGCGACAGATAGTGGGACTCCAACTAGCATGTCTGCTTTCCTTCAAGCACACCGCCCTCGGCCTTTACTGGCATTGTCCTCTTTCCAGCGGAGAGGCTGTCATCTCGGAGTAGCTTGTATGATTTCCCAGTTGGATGACTGACCCTTCCCTTACTGGCGAGATGATGACCCTAATAAATGAGGCAAAATAGGGGTGTACAGGCAAGTTGCTTGAATCCCTCAACATTTCTGTCCAACAGATCACATCTCAGTTGGCCGATAGCCCAATAAGTCGCAAGTAGCTATATCAGTCGGATTGCAAAAACCCATGCCGATGAGCAGTTATTTCATCCCTCGGTTTGCGGACGAAGACGTTGTTAATCTACGGCTTTTCAGACGTCAGTGTGAGGACATTGTGCCCCCACCCCCCATTAGGCCTTTCCTGTTGGTCCTTAGGATTTCTGCTCTCGGTCAAAGTGAATCTGTGGAACAGATAATATTCTTCATGCAGCTTCACACGCCTTGCAGTTCGACTAGGAGCCGAACCTCATTGACGCTTACTTCAACACTAGGCAAATGTTAACAGGGCCTGTAAAAGGCACGCTGTCTGAAAGTGCGGGCTTGGCTGCGAAGGCAGCTCGCTACGCACCCAGTGGGCATATTTCCTCCTTGCGATTGGGTGAAGTTTTGCTAGGTGTCTGTTCTGTCGTAATTAGCGCCGTAAGCGTGTGTGGTGTAGCGGTTAGCATGGCTGCCTTCCAAGCAGTCGATCCGGGTTCGACTCCCGGCACACGCAGGCCTCCTTTTCTTACACTCCCTTACAAATTAGACGTATTTTTTGCATTCATATTTTGCCAATACTTCTCAGTGTTTTCAAGTCTGGCTTCAACACTTGGGGCAGGAGTGACTAACGTGCGGACAGGGGTGGATTACATCGTGGAACGCCATCGACTGTCTCACGTCGAAGACACGTTGGGCAGCACTGGCAGATCAGTTTAAGTTAAAAGTCGGCGAAATCCCAACTTTTATCGATTTTTACGGACTTCCGGAGAGGCACGGCCTATCAATTAAAACGAGAGAGTTGTTGACGTCGCGTGCAACTGGTCTAGACCGGTTTTATTCCAATTAAGAATTCTCCAGACGAGCGAACGCAGATTTTTGAGCTGAACATGAGGTAGGAGAGTAGGAAATAGCCAATCGATATTGATTTATTTCCGCCGTCATTACCTGGAATGCGCCATACCGATATGCTCCCCCACTGAGTCATCGTTTGGGTGTAAGACAATGTGCCCTTGCCACGAAATCCGGTCATCCCATTGGATCGAATCCGTAAGTTGTCGAAAACAAGCTTACGCACTTGACGGTCTAATTTTCCTGACATCCACGTCCTGGTCAATAACCTGAATCCTCATCTGTAGTAAGCACTTCTCCCTGCAGGACAGAGTTCAATTGTAGAGGGCGCCGACACAAGCGAAGATGCGAGTTCCAGGAATTAGTTGATCAGAAGAAGAAGAAGAAGAAGAAGAAGAAGAAGAAGAAGAAAGAAGAAAAGAAGAAGAAGAGAGAAGAAGAGAGAAGAAGAAGAAGAAGAAGAAGAAGAAAGAAGAAAAGAAGAAGAAGAAGAAGAAGAAGAAGAAGAAGAAGAAGAAGAAGAGGAAGAAGAAGAAGCGATCGCTGGACCAAGGTCTTTATTCGCCTGACGTTTCGGATTCTCACTTCAATCCATCCTCAGAGACAGTAGCAGAAATGGGTGACTCGTGCACAGGAAGTTGCAGTATTTATCGGATGCAGTCGCTATGCTACCGCATACCTATAACAATTAACCACGCTCCCCTTCATGAAGGATCTTTGTCCGCTGGTGCGCTAATTGATTGCTGGACCGCATGCAAGTTGTTAATTACTGAAATGTCATCACCCGTGTTGGATGCAGGCGTGATGATTGCTCGGCCATCTGACTCACCGGCTTGAGCGCGTCTCGAGTGCTCAACGGTAGAGGGCACCATTGAGCCATCGTCATGATCTTCGCCAGCCGGCAACTGCAGTACAAATTTCAAGAAACGATGACAAGACTCCACAGCACCCTCGCTGATTCGGCAAACTGCCCTCGATACAGTCGACCGCGATGGACCCTAGGGGAATCATAGTGAAATCAGACGTCGGCAGTGCGACAAGCCCACATCAAAATGAGGGCTCACAGCACAGACGACGATGGGCAGTCGTGTACTCGCTTCCATTCTCCTCGGTCTCATGCTCTACGTCATGCTGAGGGAAGTCTGGCGTGGAGAACTGCCAGGAGTCAGCCTCATCTACCGGACGGACGGAGAGCTGACTAGCATCCGATGCATACAGATAATCACGCATGTCTCCACGAACAGTTTTCTCGACTGGCGGTTTACGGATTACTGCACGTCAACAAACACTGCGTTGCAGCACAACCCCGGGGTGAACAGTCTGCAATTTATTCTTCCAAACTTCGATCAGGCAGTAACGTACATTCTTGAGTGTGTAAATGACTAATGAACCTAAACTGTCCTTTTTCACCACGAGGGTTTCCATACAGAAGGTTCTATTAGTGTTCAGTAGGTTTATCTCATTACGAACGGGTAGAAGCGTTCGCGTTGGACGTCTGATTCGATTGCCTTGAATATTTTTAACATTTGCAAGCAGAAAGGTCAGTGCGGATGTTTTAATCCACCGAAATATGTATGGTTCTTTTCGGCTATTTCATTCGATGCACAGTAGGAGGGCTAGCTCATGAAATATCACCTGAAATTCCGATATGCGTTTTCGTCCCGAAAAGATTAATTATGTTGGGCTATAAAAGTACTCAGCTAGCAACATAATTCTATAATGTTTCAGTTACCTCACAATGCCGGCTTTCGAATGAACCTCATCCGACTGCATGCAAAAAATACACTCTATAAAAATTACTACTTAACTAACATGAATTGCTCTCATTGATTTTCGATGCCCTTAAAAGTCCAATTAGATCTCATGGAAAACATGCATAAAAATATTCATTCTTTTGCGCCTTTGGTAGACAATTATATCTTCTACCAATTTTATACTCGAAGAAAGAGTATCATTCGGTTTCTAAAAACTTTTTCAATTCCGGAATAATTTTGATCCCGCTTAGCAGTCACATTTGAATTCAGGGTTTTCAGTCTTCAAGCTGTATGCACATTGCGTACGGAAAACCATACATTCCTCTGCGGTATTAAGAGTTGACTAAGAGGGGTCTTAGCGGCTAGTTCATTCGATGTACGTAGGTATTTGTTTCACATTGTCGGTTCCGCTCTCTTTTCCCTCCCCCATGTCCAAATCCGTCCCCCGGACAGGTTTTGGAATAGGACGAAATGGATGATGCATCAAGAAGCTCTGCGCCCCAGACAATACTGCCACTGATGATGAATACTTGTCAAATGCCAACGACAAGTAGGGCGGTGGAAAATGAACCCGAAGAACGGAAGTATGAATGCAAAATACGGAGGACGGAAGCCGTATTTATTAATTTGTTCAATAATTACCAAACGTTTTTCACTTATAGAAGGGTGACAGCAAAGAAGAAACGTAAGGCCGCTCCGCAAGCTAATAATGCCATCGGAGATTGAACAGATCCTGGATATTATCCAGTCCCCATATTTAGTGCAATAGTTACAAGCTAAACGAGTCATGGCGACAGAAGCCAGATGTCGCTGTCGTAAACCGATGCCGTTGCGAATATTGCGTCAGCACACAGACGGGTTTGCCTTCAGGTACACGAAAATATTAATATAAGGCTTTGCCTAGGTGTAGCAAATGTGGTACCAAAAGGGCACTGAGAACTGGTTCGGTGTTTAAGGATAGTCGCCTGACTTTATCGAAGGTCCCATGTGGCTCAGGCCTATCCAGTCTCAGAAGAGCACTCGGAAACCGAGATATTTAGCAGCTGACCGGAAAGGTAAGCAGTGAGATGTTAATGATGTTGTACACATAGTGCAATAATAGCAGCCAGTGGAATAACAGCCAGGGAGAACAACTGAACGGCCAGGCAATGGACATTTTGGCCACTGAAAACTGGTACAACGGAAATAGTTTGTAAATCTTTCATATTCCGCACTAAAATAGTGAATTCCTTACTATACCTCTCAACCTTTTTTTCCCTTTTGTCCCATAACCCCAGCCGAAAATGCGCCAACGGGGATTGAAATCGTAGTATTTGAAGGGATTGATGGAAAACCTATGAACACCCTAACTGCCGATCATGACCAATCCGAAGGCTACTTCGTAAGTATGCTGACCGTCAAACCGATGAATGATGTACGTATAACAGGAAAGCCAAACCTACTGGTCACCGCAAGGCGACCAAACCGCCCAACCACACGGGCGTACGAAATCGACCGAAGCGCAAGGGGAAAGCGAGCGAAAGAGACCACAAAGAAACCCCGAGGGCCGGGTGGATAGCTAAGCCCGTGAAAATGCAAGGCAAGGCCAAACTCCTATGGTTGGGTAGCTGTTCCAAGCGGGCTGCGGTTGGGTGTAGGGAGGGGAAGTGAGCCGTACGGCAGGCAAAGAAAGCAAACGGCAAGCGGCCTTAGGAGACCGCACAGGAAGCCAGCAACCGGGTTTAACGCCTGTACGGCTAAGCCATGAAGGGCTAGTGCAGCCCCTGAAGTATGTAAAAAGGGCAGGTGCACTGGCGGGGCAGACCTGCACCGATTAAGTGCACCCAACGCCTACGCGCCTAGCCAACTCACGCGGTAGCCGCATGGAACGCGGTATGGGAGGCCCCCCCCCGCGATCGAATACAACGGGGCTGTTTCTTAAAAGGGGGGGGGTGAAGGGTAGCGATCTGTTAACACGACTGAAGCAGCTCGCAATTAGAAGGATAATGGAAAACGTGTTGAATCGCAATTCGCAAAGGTTAAGTCTTTCGCCTTTTACTAAAGATTTCCGTGTGGGGGGTGCAATGCAATGAGCCCATATAGACAGTCTTGCAGCGCCTCGTTCTCGGGGCGGTTAAAGTGAAGGAGAAATTCATCCTGACACAGCCTCTACGCCATATCAAGCAAACGTAGCTGGAGTACCCAGTCGTAGTAATGTAGCAAGCGCGCTAAGTGGCCGATGAGCGGGAATGTGAACGTGAGCAATAACATGAAGGAATTTACAACATAACCGCCCTTCCTTCGTCCAATTGGCAGCTGTAAGTATATGCGGGAGGTATGGAAATGGCACCACAGCAGCAGACAAGGTATCCCAAAGCGAGGTCGAATACATTACACCCGCGCGGCCGACAGGCCTGAAATATGTAACTTAATAAAAGCACGCCTACTGATAGGAAGCAAGTACGTCAACAATGTAGAGTCCTAATCCCAGGCTACTCAGAATTGTCTCGTCTTAAAGTGGATTCGAGCGAAATGTTTTGAGTGAATAGTGAAGATTTTCAGGCAGCAAACTGACTGTCACCCGAGAGAATGTGCATGAGCGGCACTGATCGGTCCTGAGTTTGCAAGTGTATGGGTTTCAAAGAGGACACCAATGCTAACTGCGCACTGAGGAAGTAACTAGGGTGAGGTGAGAAAAAAAGCTGGGCCTTGTCGTTGGCATTTGACCAGGATTCATCATCAGTGGCAGGATTGTCTGGGGCACCTTCAGCCGAATGGCCTTGGCCTTGGGTATATTGCTCCCATTGGTTACGGCTTCCGTTTTGAATTTTCGGCACATTTTCACCTCAAACAAACTTTATTATTTACTTTCTAAACCTCTTTTTTTACTTTTTTTTCTAACTCTTTGATGGGTTTCCCGTTTACCCCACCCTAAAACCCCCCCTTCCCACCGATCCCGTAAGACAGGAACCTCTCCTTCGCCTTGCACAGTCCAGGCTACACACAATTGTCCGACCCACTTTAACTTCTGGTTCATCAAGGAAAATTTGGCCAGCTCCATTAAGAAATCTGTATGGTGCCAGCTGAAATTCGAATTCACTAGTGTGCCGTTGAGTTTTTGGGCATTCCGCGTATTCATGTTTCGCGTGTGGCCAAAAGGTGGGAAGAGTGTGCAAATTCAGGCGTTCGCAAGAATTCTATTCGCTCCACTGGCCACTCTTAGAAACGATTTTATAATTATCAGAATTTTAGGGAAGTGCTAGGTGTGTTAAATGCGACAGTCTCTTGCAAGACTTTGACTCGGTCTTGGTGAAACGAGGACGACTGATATCCAGTCTGTCGGACGGGGCGTGACTTCCAGGGCTAGTGCATATCGTACTGCTGCGTACAGCCTCCTAACTGCTCACTGTCCTCGCAGTCAATAATACGGCCCTTTTATATTACCCCCCCCACAGCAGACTGAGCTGCAGATTCGTCAAACTAGATCAGCAGATCACTGTGCGCGTTTATAAGACTGCTCAGAGACGTGCGTAGTTGGTGGCTACTGCCGAAAGTTGGAGGGATGTGGTGGCATGACGTCCCAGACGCAGGCTTTCTTGGTGCATCAGCAATTGAGTCCTATTCCAAAACCTGTCCGGGGGACGGATTTGGACATGGGGGAGGGAACAGAGAGCGAAACCGACAATATCAAACAAATACCTACGTACGTCGAATGAACTAGCCGAAGAAGACCCCTATAGTCACCTCTTAATACAGCAGAGGAATGTATGGTTTTCCGTACGCAATGTGTATACAGCTTGAAGACTGGAAACCCTGAATTCAAATGTGACTGCTGAGCGGGCTCAAAATTATTCCGGAATTGGAAAAGTTTGTTAGAAACCGAACGATACTCCTTCTTCGAGTATAAAATTGGTAGAAGATGTAATTGTCTACCAAAGGCGCAAAAGAATGAATATTTTTATGCATGTTTTCCATGAGATCTAATTGGACATTTAGGGGCATCAAAAATCAATGAGAACAATTCATGCTAATTAAGTAGTAATTTTTATAGAGTGTAGCTTTTGCATGCAGTCGGAAGGAGGTTCATTCGAAAGCCGGCATTTTGAGGTAACTGAAACATTATAGAATTATGTTGCTAGCTGACTTATTTTATTGCCCAACTTAATTACTCATTGCGGGAGGAAAACGCATTTCGGAATTTCTGTTGACATTTCATGAGTTAGCCCACCTACAGTGCATCGAATGAAATAGCCGAAAAGAGCCATAAATATTTCGGTGGATTAAAACATCCGCAATGACCTTTCTGCTTGCAAATGTTAAAAGTATTTAAGGCAATCGAATCAGACGTCCAACGCGAATGCTTCTACCCGTTCGTAATGAGAGAAACCTACTCGACAGAACCTGCTGTATGGAAACCGCCGTGGTGGAAAAAAGAACAGTTTAAGTTCATTAGTCATTTACACACTCATGAGTGCACGTCACTGCCTGATCGAAGTTTGGAAGAATAAATTGCAGACTGCGTGCCTCAATGTCCCAACAACTATGCTGTTTTATATTCTAACCGCAGGGTTGTGCTGCGACGCAGTGGTTGTTGACGTGTAGGAATCCGTAAACCGCCAGTCGAGAAAACTGTTCGTGAAGACATGCGTGATTATCTGTATGCATTGGATGCCAGTCAGCTCTCCATCCGTCCGGGTAAGCTAATTCCTGGTTGTTCTCCACGCCAGACGTCCACCAGCATGACGTAGAGCATGAGACCGAAGAGATTGGAAGCGAGTACACGACTCCCCATCTTCGTCTGTGCTGTGAACCCACATTTTGACGTGGGGTTGTCGCAATGCCTTCGTTAAAAGCTCTGGACAGTCTGATTTCAGTATGATTTCCTCATGGTTCATTGCAGTCGACTGTATATCGAGGGTTGTTCATCGAATCTACGAGGATGCTGTGGAGTCTTGCCATCGTTTCTTGAAATTTCTCCTGCAGTTCCCGGCTGGAGAAGATCATGACGATGGCTCAACGGTTCCCTCTACCGTTGGCCACTCGGGGGGCGCGCAAGCCGGTGAGTCAAATGGCCGAGCAATCATCACGCCTGCATCCAACACGAATGATGACATTTCAAGTGTGATAAAACTCGCGTCGTCCGGCGGGGCCTCGTAGCTCAGGTGGTTAGAGCGTTGGCTGTACTAAAGCCTTCCCCCTTACTGCGTGGGTTCGAATCCCACCGAGGCGCCGAGTTTTTCACAGTTGGGTCAATATGAATTTCAGTAATTAACAACCTGCATGCCGGCCAGCAAACAATTAGCGCACTAGCGGGCAACGATCCTTCATGAAGGGAGCGCGGTTAATTGCTACAGGTATGCGGTAGCATAGCGACTGCATCCTATAAATACTGCAAGTTCCTGTGCACCAGTCACCCTTTTCTGCAACTGTCTCTGATGATGGATTCAGGTGAGAATCCGACACGTCAAACGAATAAAGACCTTGGTCCAGCGATCGCTTCTTCTTCTTCTTCCTCTTCTTCTTCTTCTTCTTCTTCTTCCTCTTCTTCTTCTTCTTCTTTCTTTCTTTCTTCTTCTTCTTCTTCTTCTTCTTCTTCTTTTCTTCTTTCTTCTTCTTCTTCTTCTTCTTCTTCTTCTTCTTCTTTTCTTCTTCTTCTTCTTTCTTCTTCTTCTTCTTCTTCTTCTTCTTCTTATTCTTATTCTTCTTCTTCTTCTTTTTCTTCTTCTTCTTCTTCTTCTTCTTCTTCTTCTTCTTCGGATCAACTAGTTCCTGGAACTCGCATCTTCGCTTATATCGGTGCCCTCTACAATTGAACACTGTCTTTCAGGGAGAAGTGCTTACTCCAGATGAGGATTCAGGTTATTAACCAGGACGTGGATGTCAGGAAAATTAAACCGTCAAGTGCGTAAGCTTGTTTTCGACAACTTACGGATTCGATCCAATGGGACGACCGGGTTTCGTGGCAAGGGCACATTGTCGTACACCCAAACGATGACTCAGTGAGGGAGCATATCGGTATGGCGCATTGCAGGGAATTACGGCGGAAATAAATCAATATCGATTGGCTATTTCCTACTCAGCTATCTAATGTTCAGCTCCAAAATCTGCGCTCGCTCGTTTGTAGAATTCTTAATCGGAATAAAAGCGGTCTAGACCAGTTGCACGCGGCGTCAACACCTCCGTCGTTTTAATTGGGAGGCTGTGCCTCTCCGGAAGTCCGTAAAAATCGATAAAAGGTGGGATTTCGCGGACTTTGAACGTAAACTGATCTGTCAGCGCCGCCCATCGGGTCTTCCGCGTGAGACAGTCGATGGCGTCCCACGATGTAATCACCCCTGTCCGCCCGTAAGTTACTCCTGCTCCGAGTGTTGAAGCCGAATTTGAAAACATTGAGAGGCCTTCACCCACGAGAGTGCATTCCCTCACCAAATATGGGTGCACTAAAGACGTCTAATTTGTAGGAGGGTGAAAGAAAAGGAGGCCTGTGTGTGCCGGGAGTCGAACCCGGATCGACTGCTTGGAAGGCAGCCATACTAACCGCTACACCACACACGCTTACGGCGCCGCCATCCACAGAACAGGCATCTAGCAAAACTTCACCCAATCGCAAGGAGGAAATATGCCCACTGTGTGCGTAGCGCGCTGCCTTCGCAGCCAAGCCTGCACTTTCAGTCAGCCTGCCTTTTACGACCCCTATTAGCATTTGTCTAGTGTTGAAGTAAGCGTCAATGAGGTTCGGCTTCTAGTCGAGCTGCAAGACGTATGAAGCAGCATGAAGACTATTATCGGTTCCACAGATTCACTTTGACCGAGAGCAGAAATCCTAAGGACCAACAGGAAAGGCCTAATGGGGGGTGGGGGCAAAATGCCCTCATACTGCCGTCTGAAAAGCTGTAGGTCGAAAACATCTTCGTCCACAAACCGAGGGATGAAGCAACGGCTCATCGGCAGGGGTTTTTGCAACCCGACTGATACAGGTACTTGCGACCTATTGGGCTATCGGTCAACTGAAGTGTGATTTGTTGGACAAAAATGCTGAGGGACTCAAGCAACTTGCCTGTACACCCCTATTTTGCCTCATTTATTAGGGTCATCATCTCGCCAGTAAGGGAAGGGTCAGTCATCCAACTCGGAAATCATACAAGCTACTCCGAGATGACAGCCTCTCCCCTGGAAAGAGGACAATGCCAGTAAAAGCCGAGGTGGGTGTGCTTGAAGGAAAGCAGACATGCTAGTTCGAGTCCCACTATCTGTCGCATGTCAACTGTCTGCCTTCGACAGTGTGCTGTGCCACCTGCTGGCTGCATGTTCAGCCATGTGGAGCGGTCTGTACAGAGATGTGCATCAACATTTCACAATAATGGGCCATCCATGAGGACGTGGCAGTCTGCCCTCTTGGTCATCAACTCTGCCGCATACTCATGTCCACTTTGATCCGTCATACGTACCCTCTCAATCCGCGGTTTCACCCGTGCCTGGCTTTCCTCCCCCCCCCTGCGCCGACGTGGCGACAGCTTGACGCCTACCGACACTGTGTCCCTTCGACAGTTCAACCGCCATGATCGACTATTTACCCAGTATGATGACCACAGGGACGGTGACTTGCGCGTGATTTAATTTACAGCGATAGCAGACTGGCGCTGCATCTACCGCACTCCCCCGCCTGGATCCGGTGTCAAACTGAGCCAAGAAGACCGGAGGCGATAGTGGGCGCAGGTGGATAGGACGGCGTAAACCCGCACCTCTAAACTTGCCGCCATACCCGCTGGTCCACGGTGTACGCGGTGGCCCTATTCCGAGCGCCTGCCGCAACTCTGGGCTTCTCGCGAGTCTGCGCGTTCGCACCAGGGCTGTCTGGCCTTGACTCACTCGACCTTCCGACTAGCCAATCAGATTCAAGGCCGGGTCGGACGTGCCCCGACCTAAGGTGCTTGGAAGCCTTCCCTGACTCACACTTGGGACGTCGCCCTTCCGGTGCCGAAGGCACTTTTCTACTCCTTCCAACTCCTTCCCCAATTGTTCTCGACAGAATATACGATCCTTCCAACTGGCGTCCATCTTTTCCTCCCATTCGGGACAGGGACTGAAGGTCGTGGCATCCAAGGTCTCAATCCCGGCTTAGGCTTCTGCGATGGGTACACTGATCAGGATTTTAAACATTAATTAAGAGTTGGGGACAGGGACAAGGTCCTAAACAGGCGAGGGGTAGGCCTGCAATTGGGCGTGGGGACACAGCCCTAACAGCGCCTGTCGGACCCTGTGTATGTCTAGCGCATCTGTAGCGGCGCAAATCTGGGCGCATTTCCTTGTCTCAACGTCCGCCAGCCAATCAGAGGGGAACAGCGTTGATTGGTTTCGGGCATTCGCGAGGCTAGAGACAAGCATCGCGCGTCCCAACAGTGTATCGACGAGGAGTTTGAGGCGGACAGGGAGGCAGCGTGACAACGGCGGAGGGTAAGGAGACGCGGACCGCTACAGATTAGGGACTGGAAGAGGAGTAGGAATAATGGGGCAGCACGTGGAACACAGGGTACCCGTATAGGGTTTTGCCCGTAGATCAAGGCGATGGCGGGGGTATGGCTTCTAGACAGAGCCTAGCATCTTGGAGACGCGGATGAGAATTTGATGCTAGTTAAGGCCCCTACGGAGCGGCCAGAACCTTCACCATGCACATAATGTGACCTTGTACCAGGAATTTTCCATGTGAGATGGTTGGATTTGTACAGTTGGTGACCTAACTCATGAGATGTGTCGAAATTTATGAATGATTGTCAATCACTCGCAAACCGACACCATTTCATGTGTCAAATGTCTTGTTAATTATGTACAAGTTTAATAGAATTAAAAACATAGAATAAATACTAAAAGCAGTGTTGAGTTGTTTAGAAATTCCGTTACTTTTGAAAAGCGCAATATCCCGAAAACGTCAGAAATGGCTCTAATTTAGTAAACTTCGCTTTTGGATGTATGAAATGTATTCCCGTACCAAAAACATAGTAAATATGAACGTAGACATAAAATAACGTCTAATAACAGTGTTTTAGGGAAGTTTACGTCCAAATATCGTTTAGTAAGTAGTGTGATTTCATATATGACGGTTTATAAACTGCCTACAATCTGAGTGTAAATTCCAAAACAGTTTTCCAGTGAGTCACGTTATTTTTGGCCCGTTTAAATTAAATGGGATGGGGTTCAACAAAAGAAGCTGGAATTTGCTTCTTTTCACCGATGGGGGCGTCGTAGGAACAAAAGTTTTCATAAGGTGACATGCCATGAGGCCGGTCGGTGCCTAATAAATTTAAATATAACTTACAGGCGTGATCATAAACATACCATTCTCTATTTAGAGAGAGAACGTTTCGTCCGTTTAACTAATTTTCATTTTTCGTTCGTTTCTAATTACGTTAAGTTTCACATCGGCCTCGAAATGTTGCTGAATACTTCATTATTTTCAGTGTTTTCTCCCGATCGCCCTTAAAGACGGATTCTGAACTACCTGTCCGTTGAGAACTTTAAATTAAGATTGACCTTGAAGGCATTTACCGAATTAGTGAGTGTTCGGGCGCTCCCTTTCAGGAAGATGGTCGTTTGGGTCACATGTGAAGACCCATCCAAACATCAGACTTCATTTTCGGAAAAAACGGCTATCCACAACCAAAGTATGCAAAGAGTATGCCGTCGAACAATAAGAAATCTTTCTTCAATATGTTATCTCTTTAGGAGGCGCTTTATTACTGCACTCCGTTGACGGATCTCTGTGTACTTTGCATTTTTACACAGTGAGGCCAAGTAAATTTTGACACTTTTGTCCGTTTCTTTCGAGTTCCTAGGAAATACTAATATTTTTCTACCATAAACGTAAGAACATGCTTTTCTCTATACATTGAGTCCGTTTCCACTCTTTTTATTCATTTTTATACTCCGTTCTTTGATTTTGAACGCACGACAAAGCGTACATATAAATACTGATATTTTGCTAAAACTAGTAATGCTTTGCTCGTTCTATTCCTGAATAGAGTATGCATAGAATCTAAGCAGCACGACAAGTAGTGTTTCATATGTTTAAAGCTGGAAATGACCATTCTGTGGTGGTCATCTATGTGACATCGGGTGGGATTTTCCAAACGGCAAAATAATTCCAGACCATTTAAACGGAGGAATTTCTATTTGAGTTATTACTGCACTTTAAGGCACTAAATCGCACAGATCTGCTAATTTGACATTTAGGAATTGATAAAACCTCTGGTTTTCTTAAAATAACGTTTGTGTTAGCAGGTTGATCACCATGGTTAACATCAAACATAAAATAAATTTTCAAGTTCGACTAAATCTGCTTATTAAAACTCTCGCGAATATATTACTGTCCTTTCAATGAAAAAGTCGCTCAGATGCGTAACCGGCGTCTAGGACATGTATTAGCATAGGAAATTGCACGAATATATTCTGACGTCCAATTTCGCGGATATTTTACTGATATTTCACTGATATTTTACTTGATATAATTGCGTAAACACAATTTCTTCACAAGAACGGGGCAATTTTTTGAGGGAAGTGGATGTGCGAACACAATGCCCAAAGTTAAAGACGTCCAGAAATTCTTTCATCAGATTCCGTTATCAGATTTCATGAGATAGGTCACGCACTGTAGTTAGCCAACGCCATAGATGTGCGCACAATCCATGAAGTGGCGGGACCAATTAAGGAATGCCAACCAGGTGCTTTTAGAAGTAGTAGCCTCATGTAAACATTATATTATCTTGTTGTTCGGAGCAGCACTCATCATGCACGTGAGCCTAACCTTGCTCGTGATCCTGAACTGCCCTCTGCTCTGCCAGCTCTGTTTCACACGCCTGGGTACGTGTCACTTTTTCTGCCTTTAGCGGTTCTGTCAAAATTACCTCGACAACATTCTAGCATGCCTGTCATCCGAACAAATATACTTTTAGTCCTTTAAAATATTGACTTGAAATAGGGTTTCAGTCAAAAATGACCACTTAGTTGTGGTTGCAGTTTTCCTCGTCATGCAGCATAATCCAAATCATTTCCGTCAGGCCAGGATAGCGGTTTTTGAACAGGCATCCCTCTGGCCTTCCGCGCGAATTATACTGTCCAGAAATGACTGCTTAATCAGTAGTTCTCTTATATTGATTTCGGTACCCTTAAAATGGGGCCATATTTTATGTGAGAAATGCACGACTGTATGCTTTTTGTATTCATTCGTGAAATATTGAGTCTGTTTCAAATTCATGCCCAAAAGGTAATGTGCGTTCGGTTTAAAGAACTTGTAGTTATGGAATTTTTAAGATTTTGAATCGCCGGTATGCTGCTGGCATGCCTTTCATTCGAAAAAAATTATACTTTCAGTAGGTTACCTGTCCTTTGAAACAGTGACTTGAAATACGGCCTCAGTCAGAAAAGACCATTTAGTTGTGGTTGTAGTATTCCTTTTCATACAGCATAGTCCAAACATATTTATGTCACAATAGGATGGGGACTTTGAACGGACATCATTCTGGCCTTCTTCAGGAATTACGCTGGCTAGATATGACTGCTTAATCAGCAGTTATCTTTTATAGGTTTTGGTGTCCTTATAAAAGCAGATATGTTTTATGAGGGAAATGCACAACAGTATACTTTTTGTATTCATTTTTGAAATATCGAGTCCGTATATTAATGCCAATTATAACATATCCCAGAACAAGTCACCCACAGTATGCTACACACAGGATATCTTTAGTCTCCATGCAGCACATAATGCTGATATTAGTTTTTCGTGATAGGTTGACTTTGGACTTTTGTCGTTTGTGTTTCCATCCCTTTCATACCCCAAGAAAAGTGTCCTCGACACGGTAATGGAATTTATTTGACGGAATTTGTACAATCCCGCGTGGAGCGGCTTTACACAATGACCATAAGACTGCCCTATGACGAGGTCAGCAGAACGAAATTTTCGCTGACGGTCGATGTTCCGGGGCACTGCGACGACTGCGTTTTCGTGACAACCTTTCGTGAAGGCGGATACTCACAGTTCTCCTGCAAGGTATCCTTGCCTGCTGTCAGTTTGCTGTTTCGCAGAGAGGTAAACATTAACCGGGTTTCAGTCCTTGGTCTGTAAACTTCTCCTACTTTGATGGAATTTTGTTATTTTTGCAGAAACCCATCTTTCCTACGTACACGAACCTGGAGGCAATGAGATTTGAACTGGTTAACATCAGCGCAACTGCTCAAGTTAATCTCGTTTTCGAGTCTAAAAAGTTTTCCGCCATACACATTACCAGACTCATCTTCGTTGACCTCTATGACCGACTTAAAAAGAAGGCAATCGAAGGAAATCAAATATCTTGCTGGAAAACTGCAGTCATTTCAAAGGCCCAAGCAATTTTTGACAGGGCATATTTACAAAACAGCAGGCTCAAGTGTTATGCATGATAATTCTTTAAATCAACTACTCGACAGTTTTACGTTGCTGGCTTCTGTAGGTATTGTCTTTGTTACAGAGGCGACATTGATGTGAGTGAGTTTACACTTTACTCCTTGATCGGTTTCACCAACCGAAGTATTGGAAATAAATACCTGGTCTCGCGAAGTTTTTTCTATGGATTTAATTCAAGGTCAGATCCTATTACGCAGCCTTTCCTGAAACAGCCCAACTCTAGCCGCCTGTATCACGGGAATGGTGTTAAGAGGAGTTTTACGGACGGGGCCATCGTATACGGTGAGAAGGCGACCGCGGAAGTAGGCCAACAAAATCGTAGAGTGGAGCACAACAGAACTTTGTATGAGGTGAAAACTAACCGCTACGCACGAACGAATGCGAGAAATCAGATCGGCCAGTCGCAAGCGCCAGCACAAGGTCAGGGCATAGGTAGAGGTAGAGGTGTGCAGGAAAACCGCACATAACGGAGACATGGATGCAACACTATGGCAGTGCACAAGCAACGTAGACGGCAAAGCAGCTGAAAATCAGCAAATTTGAAAAGCACAAGGAAGGCGTGTCGCAGGCCAGAGGATATAAAATTGTAAACCTGGCATAACTGGGATAGGTTGATGGGGTAACATTTGACAACGACAGTGCGCAGTGCGGAGGCGTGTGCTTATGGTTATTATCGCAAATAAAAAAGATAAATGATGCTCTCCTTTTGACCCAAAAACTGTCGGAAGGCACTGCAGGAATGAACCGCAAGTGGATAAACCGACAAAGTTTGCCGAATACAGGAGGGCCTTAACTCGCAATAACCTGTTGATTCAATCTAATCATACCTACTGAAAGCAAATCAGTAGGCCATCGGTATTATATCTTCATGCCTGGCTGGATAGTAGGATCCTACTCAATTTCAATTGTCGGGAAGCTAGATAGGTCGTGAAAATGGCATGCGATTTCAGACGAGATCTCTTGAACTTGCACCTGCTGAAAAGTTTTGTGTTTAAACCATGACCCACACACGCTAACCAAATTTCGCGGTTAAAATCGAGGGTTCGAGTGAAGTCCACCTCCGGATGACATGAGTTTGAATTAGAACTGTGTATTATGTTCTCATGAACAGTTCGTGACCTATCTAATGAAATGCCACTAACCGTGAACCTAAATCGCTATAGCGCACGAAACACCCATCCCGCATCCACGAAAGTTATACTGCATTAAAGATGCGACCGAGCTTCAAAATAAGGCACAGTTTGATTTATAAAGCATTACTTATTGACTAAAAAATAATTTATCATACGAAAAACTGCCAAATCAAAAAACGACTCTATAAAGTGTCAACTATTCAAGGCATAATATAACTGCCAGCAGAGAAGTTGCCATACGGCGAGGGGGCACGGAGACTACCAAGTTGTCTAAGGTAGTTTGTTCTATGTAATTATTCAGCACAAATTCAAATTTTGTTCCGTAGGAAGATGTTTTTTTGCTTTGTCCCAGTTTATTTTGACGAGTACAAAAGATTTTCGATGGGATTTAGTTCCGGACTGCTGGCGAGGATAAAACGCTTCGAAGGCCGCCGGCGGAGAGGCTGGCGGTGGTCTAAAAGATAAGATTATATACATAAGCTGAACTGGAATCATATTTCCTATGAGCGGTGGGCAGGCGCACTATCCTGCAACATTACGTTATCCATTCGACATCGATAAATGCCTTTGTAACCGAAGGCATCCTTTACGATGTCGATGAACACATTGCTATTTATCATCTCCGCTGTTGAACGTTTGACCGGTCACCGTTCGAATTTGATGGCCATCCAAACCACCAGGCGTCGACAGTTCTTGAAATTTGGTATTGCTATTGTGTGTTGTCGGGGAAAGTTCTTTCTACATACGACCACCTGGGTCGACTTCGGAGGCTTGTCTAAGCATAAGACCTCATCACTAAAGTAAATGCTCTTCCAGAAGCAAAGTCTGTGATCAATATATTTTTGAGCAAACAAAAAAGGTTCTGTAATAGGTTTTTTACTTGAGAATGGCTTTGTCGTGGAGACCGAAATCTTTCATTCCTTTTCTAATTATGCGCAGAAAAGACACTGAAATATGTTCTCTGTAAACAGCCTTAAGTGGCATATAACGATACTTTTTCAGTGTCCGACGAGTGAAATCGTCGTCTTGCTTGCTTGTGGACCGTTTTGGACAACCTCTTGTTTTATTATTCATAATTCTCCAGAGAGTGGCCTGGCTGATATTAAAAATGCTAGTCAACTACTTAAGCGGCAGCCCTTCGGCTGCCAATTTTCGTATTCGCTCAAAGCAACTTCCGATTGGAACTGTTTCGAAACTTTGCTGCACGGCGTGGCAAAGAAAAGTGGCAGCATCTAGCGCGCAATCCATATATACGTGTTTACGCCTACTAGTTCCTGGTGTAGTAAGACGAATTCTGTCTAACAAGCCTATTACTGTGTTTGACGATATAAAGCGTTGCAGTTTTGCCAAATAGAATTTATAAAAAGCAAATCGCTTTTTGGTTCACGAGAATAATGTGTTTTTACTTACTTGAGTTGAGCTGATTTTCATGAACTAAAAATCACAATTTGCCTTTCCATAGTGCCCTTCTTTGATATTCTTCCTTGTTATATGAACGTTCCTTCATAACGCAACGCGTGCAAATAAGAGGTTTTAATGGGGGATACTTATTAGAATAGGAAATTAAGAGGATATTCGGAGACGTCGAAATTTGCCTAATTTTGGTCCGTTTCTCCTCAATAATAGAGAACTGACATGACTTACTCCTTAGAAAAGGGCTTTTTGAGATTCCACTCAATTCTAAAAACAAGAATAACCACGCAAAATTTATGTCTTCCCACCAACTCAAATACCGCTCTCAACATTTCATGAATTAGGTCATCTACTGTACCTTTGACGATGAGCTGCAGCGAGATTTGACAAGATACTGCAAGTGAGATGGTGTATCCAGAAACTTCCTACATCCCCTCCTTCCACCCCTCCACTTTCTATAACCTTTTTCATAGTTAAAATAATTTGTCCTTTCCTATCCACCATCATTAGGAAGAGGCTTCTTTAGCACTTAGTACGAAAAGAATTCAGATACATGCTAGCTGCGGCTTTTGCTGTCCAATGCAAAACACAGCACGTGGTTACGATAAACCTACAACTACTTCCATGCGCTGGTACAATAACGTTCTCGTGACTGGGAAGATTAACCAGGCGGAACCCGTACGTCTATGATACATGCCTCAATTCACGACTATGGTCTCTGTCGATCGGTAAGTAAGTTAAGTTAGCAAGCATGCTTTAACTTGAAATCATATCGGGAGCTTTTAGCCAGAGATTATGGGGTCCCAGCACGACTATTTAGCCCATGGGTCGCTGTTTGCTACTGAATTACCGCCTAGATTAGGCAGTATCAAGACTTGCACATTATGAATTTGCAAAACGTGTTGTGGACCTTCTTGGTCCTTTCGTCCTCCTGCGAGGCCAAGCGTGCGTAAAAAACCGATCCTCCTATTTAAACGGACGTAGGCTCTCGAATTTTCTGTTGGAAAACGACCGTGAACGCAATGACCATTTCGCTTATATTTGTGCAACGTTGGGTGTACTATGTGGAGAAAAAATAGAAAGGTTTTGGTGCGATGAATGATCAGCATTACGGAGTGAGTCAATGAAATAAAAAAAAAATGGACGGCATTTGAGTGCGATAAACACACTCGAGCAAGTTAAGAGTGATGGGAGGGAGCAAGGCTTGCGAGAAGGACTTGTGGGAAGAATGGGAGGGAGGGTCACTGCATTACATGCTTTCCGCCTGTGCATTTCGACGTTAGTCCGTGGAACGACTTCGCATATTGTTAGATGGGGAGTCGCGAAACCGGAAGTCGTCAAATTAGTTGATACTTTGTATCCGACGTTCGTAAGACGTAAACTGACTCGGGAGCGCCACATGCAGCACCTATCGATGTACCGAAAACTCCAAATTGCAGCAATTTTCTGGCATCATATGCAAAAGTACTTACATGGGATAGGAGGGAGGGCGTGGAACGTTTTGTTTACAGACAGGTTTTATACTTCAGGTTTACAAGGATGCCGATTATTACCATTCAGACCGAGATGAACCCGGATGTCGGGTTGGCACGGCCTCCGTCCACGTCTCTAATGGGCCATCCCGACGACAAGTGTGAGGTTTATCTGTTCAAAAATCTCCGCAAATGACAACAGCTGAATTCTCGCAAAGCGCCGACACTCCGGTCGGCAATAAACAAAAATCACCATCGCCAGCAAGATGTTTACAGACATGGGGTAGGGGTGGGAACGCCCTTAAATCCAATGACCTCAATTAAGCTGCTATTGCAGAGACCGCTTGCATGCAACGCCGATATCTCACCTGGCTCAAAATCCGTCAGCTGTCTTTCTCTGGATATTCAAAGAAGTGCAACAGCTGGTCGATTTCCGAAGTAATTAGACATGTCGGTGCTGCGCTTCGGGTCGCGGAGGTGAACTAGTCGAAGGCACTCGACGACCTAGTCCAACCCTGTCCGCACATAATTCCCTCATGTTCCTGTTAGGGCGGTGCCCTAACATGCTGCCCACACGCCGTCCAAGTGTTGATCTAGCGCCAACTCCCAACACGATTGGAGGTTTACTCAGCCAGTCAACTGAGCCAGAAGTCCAGCCGACACCCCAGCCACGCAAGGCCACTACCTAATTGGTCGAATTTCAGTCCGACCTTGAGCATTTCCATATGTCCTTTTTGTTTCACAATATATTAAATGTGGTAGATTCACAAGGAAATTCCTGTAACGGAAGATCCACCCACGCCGAGTTCCGCAAAAATTTACATCAGTAAGGAAACTACCGAATTTAAAAGAAGGCCTACATAGTTGGGTTTGCAAGTTAATATTTACTAACAACATTAATCAATTCTCACTGAAAACGAACATTTAAAAAGTGCCTATATTATAAACAAATTACGTACAAGGATGCATGAAATAAAGGGCGCCTAATAATTTTCCGTTTAGTGAAGCAAACATCTGTCAAACAATTTTTTACTGAGTTTTTTTATATGACATGCCGCAAAATTGCAGAGCAGAATTTTTAAAGCTGAATTCGCCCCTCTTATCTTAAAAACAATGCATATTCGCATACCTGACTTCATCTAACTTTTATGAACGCAACATTCATTTTTCCATTTTCCAAAGGGATTTATCTCTAACTACTCTTGTTTATCTTAATCATCGTCTACAGAACAGTGCGCATAAACATGGAGTTTTTAACAGTGGAAGTGGGTAACACAGGAAATCTCCTGCATGCCGAGGAAAGCCGTATTTCGCCCAAATCTGGCGTTTTTCTTTTATAAAAGAAGAACCGTCGGGAGGGCGTGTGACAGGTCTATAACGGTTTCCAGTGTTGATGACGGAGTGAAAACACCCAGAGGTCTTAGCGCACGGGGCAGCCCGCTCGTCAAGTATGCTTTTTCAAAACAGCGTCAAAGTTTAAAATGAATTAAAGAGAGAGAGGAGGCCTGCGTGTGCCGGGAGTCGAACCCGGATCGACTGCTTGGAAGGCAGCCATGCTAACCGCTACACCACACACGCTTACGGCGCGGGCCATGACAGACCAGACCTCTAGCAATACGCCACCCAATCGTTGGAAGGAAATATGCCCCCTGGGTGCGTGACGCGCTGCGTTCACGGGCTGGACATGTACTTTTAGCCAGCATGCTATTTGGAAACTCTGAAGGCATGCGCAGTGTGGCAGATTAGGCTTTTTGCTGAACTCGAAAATCCGCGAGGCTCGCATGAGTAAGGTTGAAAATTCTACCGGAATGTTTCAATTAAGGTCGAAAATCCCACTGACCAATACGGAAGGCTATGTTCCGCACACCCCACATGTAATTGTCGGCAAGATCCTATTTCGTAGCCGTACGTGTTAGTGGTCGGGGTTTTGGGATTAGGGTTTGGGGGTAGGGATTGGGTTCAGTGTTAGGGGTAGGGGTTGGGGACTGGGGTCAGGGGTTAGGGTTAGGGGTTAGGTTGGGGCTTGTAGGTACGGCTACGAAATAAGATCCGACCAAACTTTTTAGAAAGAGGAAAGCTCATTTAAAAAAAACGTCCCGCGCGAAGAGCAGTGAGGCAGCATAAAATGATCGAAAAAATGGTGGATGCAGTGTGCACGTCTGTCAGTAAGACAGGAGTGTTAAAACGCCGGTGAATTTGTTAAACAACAGTCGGAATTCTCTTACCTCGCTAATGTACTTAATCCTTGCTAAATTTTCGTGTTGATAAGAGGCCAGCATTTCATGGTACATCCGAAAATTGCGCTGAAAAAATAATCGCACTGCTTGTAGCAAATGACTGCAGACGCCATCCCTTTCCTTCTTCTGTTTTACGGTTTATCGCAAGTGACTGGTATGTTGTCGGGATCAGTAGTAAATAATCTGGGGAGCATGTCCTACGGGAATACTAGTCGTAGGGGTTATACGGTCTTGGAAGCAGGTGGAGGTATTCCGAGAAAGTGAAATGGATAAAAATTAGGCGAGGTATGCCTCTGCACCATATGGTTAGCTTACTAGAACAACCTACAGGTACAAGGATTTTCAGTAAGGATTAAGTATATGCGCGGAGTAAGAAAGAACGATGGACAGCTGCCTACTGTATTTTACAACGAATGTGTTGTCCTGAAAAGTTCTTGGCCAGCCCTTCGTCGGTGGGATGACATCCGCTGACTTGTACCGTCTTGAGCAGCCGGTACTGCGGTATTTTCTACATTGGTTTATTGTTCTACACACTCGTAGTCAATTATTTAGTTAGAGGAAGGGTTAGTTTAAAAAAAGACACGGCTCAGAGAGCAACCACATGGTAAGAATGCCTAAAATAATGGCAGATGGAACGCATACGTCTGTCAGTGAAGCAGGATTGTTAAAAATCTGGCATATTTGTTGAACGACAGTTAATATTTTCCAACCTCACGCATATAATTAATCCTTGCCGAATTTTCTGTGTTGATCATGGGCCACTCTGTCATGCTAGGTCTGACGATTGTGTAGAAAAATCCACTGGACTGCTTGTAACAAATGACTTCTGACCTCATTATTTTTCATCTTCCGTTTCACAGTCTCTTGCAAGGGGGTGGTGTGTAGTCAGGATGAACGGCAGATAACCTGGGGAGCATGTTCTATGGGAATGATGGTTATAGGGGTTATACGGGTTAGGGAGGCAAAAGTATTTCAAGAAAGTGAAATAAAAAAATTAAATTCGCATGCTGAACCTCCAAACATACTTGGAATTTAGGTGATAGAAAAGTTCGTGACTTCAAAAAAATAGAGAAATACGGTAGTCAGTGAGTTTCAGGCAACTGAATAAACCGGCGCTTGCCGACTAACGTAATGTCAGGTTCCGGGGGAATCCGCAACCAATGGTAATGGGCAGCAGACAGTGATCGTTAGTTGCAGATGACGCAGGGCCTTGCGAGTGACACAAAGCACACCGATTCGCAAGAAGATGCACAAATGCACAACAAGGAACAGGAAGAAAGTCAAGGAATGTGAGTGAGCTCGAGATGAAAAGGAAAAAAGGAGATATCAAGTCTAATAATATAAAGAGGAACGACGTGGATGTAGGTGCATAGTTGTTTGTGTTAGAATAAAGTCACCTTACGTAAGGACGATCGTAGTGGGAAGACAAATGGAGAAGTACTGTGGACCACCTTGTCTGTGTAGGTGCATTCCTCCACTTATATTTTGAAGTATCCAGAAAAAGCTTCTTTAGCAACGAACACGCGTGGGCGACGGCCACTGCATGCCTAATGAGCTGGGTTCGGAGGCTATACTTTAGGAAAATAATATTTTATAATGAAGCATACCTGTGCATTGTCTACCGCACTCCTTTCTTCATCACCCATTTAACCCTGATACCTTACTTTTAATATTATCACCAGCATCAAGGGCTAATTTGTTTTGACACAGAAAACACTTTTATAGCGGAGAGCAAAGCCGACTTTCTCGGACTCCAGTCATTTGACAGCCCTCTACCAGTGACCTTCCTATGAATTAACTTCCCTGACCTTCAAATCCACATTGTGTATGTGGGAATTTTTGGGTGAATATGATGTACAAGCGCAATTGAAATGCATTCCCAATCAAAAAACCCAAAGTCATTCGAGAATATGCATGTTCTTCGCTTTGGAAACACGGTTGACCTCAAATTGTATGACCATAAGAATGCTTTTAGTGGTAAAGTATATTTCGGTTGGTTCGCAGTGGGCTACTTCATCGTCACCGGTTTCAAAGTCACAATTTATAGTTAATGTCATCCCTTGCGGTTTCGAATATTGCCGACCGTGGCACTAAAGCGAAGCATGTCTTAGAGCAGGCGGCCAACAACTTATGGAACACCTGGCAGATTTCTTCCACTTGCCAAAGACCGGTTCCTCTGGACTTTGAGGGCATCCCAATCGTCCATCTCTACAAGCGGAGACGGAACCGCAAACTATGCAACAGCCTCAGAGGTAGTACCCTCATCAACGCCGCCGGGAAGATCATCGCTCGCATTCTTCTCAACCGTCCTGATAGCCCCTTGGAACAGGGACGTCTGTCGAAAAGTCAGTACGGTTTCCGTCGTCATTGTGGTCTTACTGACATGATTTTCGCTGTCCGTCAACTGCAGGAGAAACATCCGGAGATGCAGATCCAGAAACTGCCAAAGATTTCCCTCTGTGTCGAATGTCAGCCCTTGCGACTTTGAGCATTTTCGACCATAGCACTGAGCTGCAGCCATTTGGGCAAATCGAAATCTACTTCACCGGTGTGATTTTGTAGTGCGTACGAACAGCTAGGCATTGCTTCGTGAAGTATTCGTTGCGTCAAATGAAGCAGTGCATTTACTGGGCTATTGTAAATCAATACCTATGTAGCCAGGTCTTCAAGAAATGGATGCCGGCAAACACCAATGGTTCATACTTATTCCCGATGAACTTTATTCAGCGGCAGCATCTTTTTGTTTTTCACAGCGCTACGTGCACTAAGATGATAAAGAGATTTTGTCAGTGACTGTCGGTCATTTCGTATGCATCAAGCATTTACAACTAATGATTCTCACGGTTCCACATGATCACAGGACTTTTCTTCCTGTACTTAGCCAGACGTGGTTATATAGCCGCGCCAAAGGCAAACGAACCCCAGCCAACTGTAATACGAGACCGGCGGTGATAACGGTTTACAGAGATGGGGCCGGGGAACACACAAACGAGGAGGTCCAAAAATTGTATACGAAAGAAAAGCTTTTGGGAATGCGCATTGGTACTTTGACTGGGTGAGAAGTTGTTGCTATAACTCTAACCCTTAATGCTAACCCTTAACTCTAATTCCGACCCCTAACCCGAACCCCTAACTCTACCCCCCATAACTTACTTCATATCCCTTACCCCTAACCATAACATCTAGCCCTAACAGCAACACCTAGCCCTAACTCTAATCCCTAACCGCCGAACGCTATCTCCTACCCCCCCCCACCCCCAGCCCTAAGTCTTAACTCCCAACCCTAATTCTAACTCCAACCCCAATCCTAAACCCTAACCATGAAACATCCAACGCGACAGTTAGAAGACGACAGGCCAAAAGTCAAGAAGGACCACTGGTATTGGACTGAAAAATGTAGACAGGTCAAAACAGAAACATGGCCGTCACTTAAAGTTAATCATCTTTGAGCGTAACTTAAAGAAAAATTATATTCAATCGGAACGAGGTCCAAATGTGTCTTCCACGACTCTTTATTGGTAGTGAAGGACCGTCAGTTAAATTGAAAATTAAAGGCATTGGTAGGGAGCGTTCACCGATCGTTCTTACGGAACTCACTCGTTCCGTTTTGCGCGCTCCCACCATTGTATATTCCCGATCGAAAACCCACCGGGCAACGGACTCGTGGCCCAGTGGTTAGAGTCATGGACTTCTAACTAACAGGTGGCGACTTCGAGCCTCGAGTGTTCCACACCACGGGGTTGAGTATAACTGGCTGACGACGGCTAATAAGCCAGAAATGGCCATTCCAGTCTCCCTTGTCTTTGTCGGTAATGCCGCTCTGCCGATAAAGTCTTTGTCATAAAAAATAAAATTGGTCATAGGAACACTTTTATTACTGTGTTCTAAATTTGACCCTAAAATAAACCTAGTCCCTCATAGATCTTACCTTAGCGATAATCTTAACTTCCCCTGTACTACCCACTCCTTAGCAGGACTTTAATGCATTGCGACCCTCTATATGATGAAGGTTCAAATTCCGCTTCCTTACTCAGTTTTAGTCAGAAAATCAAAAGTTTTGGAATTGCGCGAAATTTCGAAAAAATTGAAAAACTGATTTAAAACTGGCGTATAAATGCTCGATTTCATCGAATATCCCATTATAAACTTACAGTCGTTTCAACTTGGTGCTTCTCAAATGCTGCTCATTTTCACTGCTTCGACAGCTTTTGGTGAGAATAAAAAATATGCTGCTTATGAATAGCGTTCAACGATCTGACCTGGTGGCAGAAGGGACAACGGACGACCTGGCTTGACCTCAAACATCCGGTCACGATGTAATTTTGACCGGATCACTCGACCGCGATCAATCTGCCGGGGCGTAAGTTGGACGGAACATGGCATGGGTGACGCTTAGTCTTTATGCGGTGGAGGAATATCCCTTGTTTCAGGACAAATTACTCAGTGTGTACATATATGTGTGCTTTCATATGTCTACTGAAAAAATATATTCCACTCATCTACTTCAAAACTCTGGATTTCTGCCTAGTAACCAGTGACAGTCAAGAAATGTCACTTGCAGAAACCATTATATGCTGTATCAACGATGTATGAACAAAACGACCTCCAAGCTAATCAGCTGAACGTCGCATCTGGCTACATTCACAGTTGACGTATAGTTGTAAATAAGAGCAATTGTAGCAGCCGCTCCAGTCCCCCTTTCTCCGGCTCCGTTTTGTCGGTCGATGGCCGCAACAATCGTTGCCAGGCCGCTGACACACGACCACCCTCTCCGGCTAGAATTGAGGCCGCTTCTGTCCAGCTGCAGTGACCCTCGTCTACGCTCACAAAGTACTATCACCTCATGCGCGTCGGACGACCTGGCTTGATACCCGTGAGCCCCTGTGATTATGCTTCCCCCTAATCCTCCCCTAATCCGTCCAATCTCATGGCCAGCACTCAACCAGTCACCCCCACCTACTGACACAGACTTTCACTCCCGCGGAAACGACACACCGCGACTGACGCTCTCCGTGAACGGACGCTTATCTCTGTTGCAAGCAAACAGCCGGCAACCTGCCCTGTGTACAGAATAAACTGGTCCTCACAGCTCCCTGACTTCTGACATTAGACGAAACAAACGTATTCTGCGTGATTTAAGTTGATCTCACATCCTTGACCGCCGCACAATCAACGTACTGCCGCTGTTATTACCCAAGAGTGCGCCGAGTGCGTCAACTACCAACGCGGTCCATTGAGCTCTTTGTAAGGGACGTATACCTCCTCATCCCCTGAAACTACGCGCAGGGAAATCAAGAACCAATGGACGAAAGTCCTTTTTCAGTAACAGAGTGGTTGCAGCCTGGAATGCCCTACCTACCGATGTTGTTACCTCCTCCTGTGTGAACTCCTTCAAGTGTAGACTTGACCTGCATCAAGCTTCCCAATTACCACCCCCACATCCACTCACATAACCCGGTATTCTCTTATATGTGTTTATACTACCTGTAATTAGTAAGTAACCATTAATGATTACTCTTTTTCGGATAGCTGGCAGCTGTCCGCGAGCATGTACAAAATCCCATTTTCACCTTCCCATTTATCAATGTTTTTCTCCGACGACTTGTAACCAAGAGGGAATTCAAAGGCGCTTGCCTATATTTCCCTTAATAAACTGATACTGATACTGATACTAGATAGCAGACAGACGTCAGTCAAGCATAATACTCATAAATATGCAAAAACAGGCCAATTGATCCTGATACTGGCGCATGAGTTTACTCGTTACCCCTTTGGACTCTGTCTGAAGTCAGTCTTTAGGCATAAAAGCTTAAGGACGGACTGTTTCCAATCTAAGACGCGGTTGGACCAATCAACAGTTGGCAGACAGCTGTATAAAAACTTAACAGCCTCACGTGGGCCACAGGTGCTTTGTCCTGTGTGTGACAGAGTACTCACCATGCACACGAGAATAAGCTTGATTTTAATCCTAAATTCCCCCCCCCTCTCTGCCGGACCTGCTTCATACGTCTCGGTAAGTGTCAGCACTTCTGCTTACAACACGACACCCACAAGGGCGTTTCTCTCACTACCTGCCGTTCCATAGCAACTAAATCATATGACCAACTTGCCCCTGTCTAGATACGCCCAGTTACCGACGTCTGTCATTCTTCTTTGATTTCCTTTTTAAGTGACTTTGTCTCCTTGGTTAAACGATTCTTCCGAACTTGTTATTTTCATATAACGTTTGCTTAATAAATTCAACCTGCTGTGCAATTATTACTCATCATCATCCATGCTATGAAGCGACAAAAAGCAACCCCACATTCGTTGTCAGATGTTTTAACATGAGTAAATCCTGCTGTTCCTGCGCGTTTTCGGTCCAAACTGTTTGTCAATCAAATGTCATGAGTAATGAGTCATTTTAAAGTTGAAATCGCCTTCTGCATCATCGCACAGTTTTTTTATTGTCTCTGAAACAAAGAAAAATGTCCACGCTACAATCATGGAGTGTACCTGACGGACTACGTGCAATTCCAAGTGGAACGAATTTCCAAAATTTGGACCACACGGCTGTATGACGAGCGTAGTAAAACAACCTTTTCAATGACATTCGATGGTTTTGGATACTGTGACGACTGCGTTTTCAAGAGCAGATTCCGCGAGGGTGGATTCTCACGGTTATCTTGTGATGTTATATTCCCAGCTGTAACTGTGAAGTTTCGAAGGAAGGTAAATTAAGATAGTTTCGCGCTCTTAGGTTTGTTGCCGTCACTTTTATCCCCCAATTATTGGTCTTCTGTCTCCTTTCCTAGACCCCCTTCTTCCACAGACACATAGACATGGAGACAATGGAGGTAGAACTGGTCAACGTCAGCGCGATTGCGGAAGTAGATCTCCTTTTCAAGTCTTCGGAGTCTTTTGCCATCCATATAAGCAGGCTTATCTTTTACAACCTCTCTGATAGACTTGTGGAGAAAGCCACAATAGATGACAAAATGTCCACGTGGAAAACAGCGGTTATTTTAAAGGCTGAAGCGCTTTCTAGCTGGGCTTACTTGCAACGCAGTACGCCCACGTGTTATGTATGATACCCGCCCGGGTCGACCACCTGACGTGTTCTTGAAATGGCCATTCCAGTCTCCCTTGTCTTTGTCGGTAATACCATTCTGCCTATATATCATGCGCCGCTGTGCGGCTGCTGGTTGGGCTCGAGAGAGAGCCCTTAAGGCACAACGGAACGAGTGAGTTCCGTATGAACGATCGGTGAGCGCCCCCTATCATTACATATATATATATATATATATATATATCGATACGCATACAGATTCGAGGTCCAGACATTGTATCCGTTCATCATCTCCCGAAGAAGACGATGAAAAAGAGAGGGCGAATCCATGGACCATATTGTATTCGAACTGACGTTTCGGAAACTTCCTCGTTTCCATCATCAGCGTAGCGTAATTGTTGCACTTGCGGGTCTTGAGTTATTCAGTATTGCCGCTTACT